GCTTGTCAACCTTTGCAGCCCAAATGAGCTAATGGTGAGCCCATTCTGCTTTTCCTAGTATTAGTATTTTAATGGAGCTTAGACCTTCACATCTGCTATGAGACAGCCACTATACCTCTTGGGGTTTGGGTTTGGTAACCTGCATAGATCTGTTACTTGATTCTGTAGACCTGTCCTACAAATTGTCAGGGACCAAATTTGTTGGCATGCATAGAATCATCTAGGTTGGAAGGGACCTTTAAGATCATCAAGTCCAACCATCAACCTAACACTGCCAAAACCACTACTAAACCATGTCCCTACTAATCTCTGTACCTCCTGAACAATTTCTTCTGAAGACCTTTCTTTTCTTCTAGTTGGAAACATCTAGTGGTCCATCAGTGAGGAGTTCCTCCCTGGGGCTGTGGATGCTCCTCATCCCTCTCTGCAGACCATACCATCATGGCCCCTGGGACCACTTGTCTTGACGCAATAACAGGACTCCAGGCTCATCTTTGTTCCGTAAAAGAGCAAATGACATAGAACGGTAGAAATTTTTATGTAATCTGACACAGTGCAGTATATTTTGGATAACTCCTCCTTCTCCCAACAGCTGTCTAGAATTCCCCAGATGGGGATGAGCTTTGATAATTTGGCCTTTAATGGGGAACAGCTTCAAAGCAGGGCTGTGTGGGAATGGTGTGGGTGAAATACAAGCTCAATATGAAAATTTGGATCTTCTCTCTGTTCCTCTTGCCTCAATTCCCACCATCATTTCTCACCTTTTTTTCCCTTGCAAGCTTCTCCAGAGGCGACACAGAGATTTGTTATTCAGCTTGGGTGTCCTCAAAGTGTTATGTTGTGGCTCTGGGTAAGGTGCAAAAGGTCCTGTCACTTGGTTTTTCTAAGATAGTCTTCCAAGAGTTTGTCTAAGAAAGATGACTTTCAGACCTACATTCTTCATCGAGGAATGCTGAGATGGCTGTTTCCCCGAATACAAAATCTTGTTCATGACTGAGGAGACTGCAAGCAGGTTGTCCAGGTTCCCCTCACCAGGAGCTGCTGTAACCTCGATTCCGCAGGTCTGCTGTCATGAATTCTGGCAGCATCATGTAATTCAGAGAAAATCTTACCCTCAAAATGATGTTTTTGAGGAATGAAGTCACCAGCTGTGTTTATTTGAACCACACAATACATGTAAGACTCTGTCCCTGTGTGCATAGCCGCGTACAGTATACAAAAAGAGATTCCCCCGTTCTGTATAATTAATTTACAGTGGATGTCTCTTTTCTAGTGCGCGTTTGAACTCTTTATTCTTTGTTCATTGTAAAGGGCTTAACGGTTCCTGTTCCTTGATTCTTTCATCGGTGAAATGTTTTGGAAGAGAGGTTAGAGTCCCCCTGTGACCTGCCCTGGGTGGCCCAAGCCTGTAGACCTTGCAAAGACATTACTTTTTTGGCCTGAACACAAGTCTCTCAAACCTTTAGCCTGGCTAAATGCTTTGTACAAACAGCCGCATACTGATCTGCTCTATTCTCTTGTGATTTTCTGCTCAAGGGGCTGTACTGTAGGTGGCTTGCTATGTTTGCCACTTGCCTTGGTAGTGGAGACAGTACAATAAACGAATCCGACAGTACTGAGGCCAGCACTGTGCTTGGTTGTTCCGAGAAAATTATCCTGAAATCTGATTGAAGAGATTAAAACCAAGAAGAACTGGCTGTGTCTTTCCTCTAAATCTCTGTTCTCCTCTTTGTTTCTTTTTTTCTTTAAGACTTTGTTCATTCCTCCTTCAAAAGAGGTTTGTGGCATTGGTATGTAAAATGTGACCTACGATTACAGAAGGTACGGCTATTTTTGTAACAACCATGGGGTGAAGCATTACATTCATTCCTCTTCGGGCTCCTTACAGCCAAGTGCTGTAGCAGCTTTCTTCTGGCGTCTGAGATGTATTCTTGATCTCATTTCTGCTGTAATACAAATAATATGATCTCATACGCCATTTCACTTCTTGAATGTCAGGTGCATTGTTAATGCAATAGAGACTGCAATCTGTTGTATTCCTGAGAATTGTTGTTCAACCAAATGCTGGTTCAATGTGCTACTGTTGTTGTACTGTGCAGTGTTAAAGGGCAGTGTCACTCCATGACCCTCACAGACTTCCTCTCATACAGGTCCTTAGTAAGAGACAGCTAAAGGTGAGCTGCTAACTAGCAACCATGTCTTGGGATGAAATCTGTCTTTGGTTGCTCATGAGCAGATGACAGTAATGATAAATTCCCGACTCTTGTGAAAACATTCAAGACCCAGGCACAGGCGTTTTCTCATGAGGATTTGAAATTCATGCTTTTGGGAAGATCTTAAGTTTCACAACTCCATCTGTGCTTCCAAATAGATTCTTAGCAGCTGCAAAGCCCTTAAATCCAAAATAGAAATTTTCTTTCATTGCAGTTCTTTCAGGGTTTCTTTTTTCCAGTGTTTCTTAAATTATAATTAGTAACATGATGTTACTCCATCCTTAGAGGGTAGAAAGTAGTGGTTCAGCCAGTTTGTTGGGTACCTCAACCCAGGGATGTCTGCAACACTGAGCCCCCCAGGGCCGTTTCATCCCTCGAGACGATGCTCAAACACTGTTCCTCGCATCTCAAAGTTTTTAGCTTCTCAGGTACGTGCTTTTCCAAAGTGGGGTGTTTTAGGATTGATGTGGCTTTTGGGATCATTTTTCCAGATGAGACAGTGGGGTGTACAGCAAATGTGTAAAGATGATTTACGCCTTGCAGATCAGAGTCAGAAAGCATGTGTTAGTCCTCCCTTGTGTGTGTGTGTGCTGGCACAGGCAAGCTACAGTCAAATTTTATAGCAAACATACATTAAAATGCCTTTACAGTTAGAGTTAATTAAAACAGGTTTTGAGGGTTAAATATAAACTATCTTTGGACTGTTTGCAGCCTGAATATTGCAGCATCGGTCAGTGAAGCTGGCTGGAAGCTGAGCAGCTCCTATCTCTGTCCAGTCTCGTCCTGTGCAAACGTGGCAAAGTCCATAGGCACAACAACGGATGGTTTCTCCTGGCTTTGATTTATGCTTTTCCAATCCAAAATCTAAATGTGAACAGCCACATACATACTTTCTCTTTTTATTTTTTATTATTCGTTTCTAGTAGTAACATTGGATAAAAGTAATGGTTTTACAGCCATGTTTGCTGTTGTCTTGCAAGAGTTGTCACTTGAGCGATCACTGCAAAGATGAGTGATCGCTTCAATCTTAGAGCTCTTCTGACACTTGAAAATATTAAAAAGCAAAGCTATGGATGTCTGAACACTGCTGGCTGTGCCCCTAGAGGTGCCTGTGTCTGTACTGAAGGATGCTCTCCATCCCAAGACTATAATGGAAGGTGGAGCAACAAAGATGACAAATAACCCCTCTGGTTTCCAGAAATAAGGCAGTTGAGGAACAGGGCTGAGAGTCCCAATGTCTAAGTCATTAGTCTGTTCTCGTTAGAGCCATGGGGACTGCTCATATGACTGGGCTGCTATAGGAAGTCCTTAAAAATAGGACTGTGATGATTTGTTTTCTTTCTTTTGTGGCATTCACTTGAAAATGAGATAACTTTTGGAAGAAGCATTCGAGGAGAAGACCACCTGGCATGAAATGACTCTGCCGTGTTTAAGGACAGGACAAGCTTTGTCCATTAGTACTTCTGTGCAGTCATGGAGACAGGAGGCAAAATCCTCCTTCCTTATTGCCAAGCAGTCCTTAGTTGTCAGCTTTGTAGAGCTGCAACAGCTGTTTTGAGGGTTCTTGTATGGTAAAAAACAGAATAGTTGAATGATAATGGGCCATACATAACTTAAAAATCTGTAGGTTCCTGTATATTTTCCCTCCTTTGTTTTCTGCCATCACACGTGGTTGCATCTCAAGAAAACATTTTCTTCCAGCGTGCAGCATCTTCAGTGTCTACAGAAGCAACAAAATTCAGCCGAAGGCAGAAGCTCCCTCTTGAGTCTTTCATGATGTTGAGTTGTGGCTTCACAAATTAGGTCCCTTTGGTGATGAAAAGCTGCACGGATGGCAGAGATAAAGCTGTTACTTGTGTAGCTAAAGAGGGTGAAAATTAAGTGAAGTTGGGCTAAATCAACCTGAGGCGTATCTTCAAAAGACGCATTTGAATATGTGCAGTTGTTGGCTTCATGAGCACCACCAAGTAGAAGCTGTTAAATGACATGGAAGAGCTAAGGTCCTCTAATGTGTATTCGCTCAAGTCCCCCTCAGTGGTTTTAGACTTGGTTTAAATAATGGATTAGAAGAAAAATAAATGACTGAAGTATGAAATTTTGGCCAGATTACACTGGAAGGAGGTAAATGTAGTCTTGGAAATATTCTCTTCACTTTAGAAGCCAATGTTATTCAGTTGTCAGATGTCTTCATCCAACATAAATAAATACGCCACATAATGGCCGTGATTCTTCCCATTTGGGGTGACTGTACACTGGCAATAGCGCACCATACCAGATAATGCAAATAATCTGCTGCCGAATAATTAATGATGCGGCTGGGCATATTTTTTTGATGAATGCTTATGGAGTCTGGTGACAGGCGTGAAATTAGAAAATTCCTTCAGCGCCCTAAAATATAAATAGCTTTCGGAACTGAAAAGAGTTTCACAGCTGAAGATTTTATTGTGTCGAGAGGAAAAACTTTTCCACCCCCATCCCCCCCTTTCTTCTCGGCGAGTTGTTTGTCCATTCACAAAACAAATACTCTGAAGCCCAGTACGGCTCATGGGAATAAATTTCAGGTCGAATTAGTACAGTTTCCTTGCTGTCAGGACGGTGGAATTAATGGTGTTTTGATGACACGAATTTTGAAGGGCGAACAAAGACGCTGAAGGGAGGGAGACATGACTCCTTAGAAGCGCGGTCCTCCTCTCCCCCAGCCTCTCTTGTCTTCCCTGTCATCCGTCTGCCAATCTCCCTGTCCATGGTTAGTTAAAGGCGCTTTTTATCCTCTTTTCTTTCCCACAGAGTTTGCCAGATCCGGCCCAGTGCCTGGGTTCCAAGGGGACACGCTGCAGTTGGCCTTCATCGACTTGAGACAAGTAAGTCTTTGTGTTTTTGTTTTTTGTTTTTCTTTTAAGATGTGTGACTGAAGACCATCAGGTCTTAAGGAAAGGGAAAGGAGGGGAAACGGCGTCGGTGATTTACGCCAGAGACCTATATTTCCCCCCCTCCTCCTCCCTGCACTTGAAGCCACCTCCTTATTGAGGGCTCTGGGGTCCTGGAGATGGTGGAGGTGAAAAGGGCTGGTGGTACGGGGGTGAGAAAGAAAGCCATGCCTGACCCTGGCCGATGGGGTCCATTGTGCTCCTGTTGGCTTCTGCAGATGTGGCAAAAAGATAACTCCGCGACTCTCCCGGCTGACGCCAAGCAGGTGGTGCTAACAGAGAGAGCAGTGATGCAGAGACCGCCCGCCTCGAGGACTTTTGTTCACAGATAATGCCCACAGAGGCGTTTTGCGAGGGTGAAGGAATTTGCATTTGGGCTTGTGTGGGGAGGGTATGCCTGTGAGTGCGCCCGTTTGTGTCCGTCTTTGGCTCAGCAACCCCCTCCGCAGTCCCCTCTTCCGCAGATGGTCCCCAGCCATGAATGACAAAGTGGCTGTTGGGGAAGATGATTGGGGAAGGCTCCACCCATCGGTGCCCACCTCTGAAGGGGGCCCCATTAGAGCCAAGTTGACCATAGCAGGTACTGAGGCATTTGTGGGGCTTGGCAAGCCAATTTAGGGAAAAGGGCCATTCTAGTAAGTCATTTGTTTAGGGTAGAAATGGGCATTATTGATATACTAGGCTGGGGGGAAAAAGTGAGGTGGTCCTGTCATCTCTTGGCACTGAAGATGGATGGGTTGGATAGAAAGTCTGAATGAAGTAAGACTCAATGACTGATGCTTCTCTCCTATTAAAACAATCTTTTTTTGTCTGTTAAACCCCCCTGGCTTTGTCCCTCCTGCCATCATGATGCAGTGCCTCTTGTTTTCAGGGTTGACGTAGTTTGCATTCTGAAAACTTTCGGGTGCTGAGGGTATTTCTTAAATCTGCATAATCCCTTGTATCGATGATCTCCTTACCACTGGGACTCTGATTCATGCTGGAGCTGCTTTTAACCCGTACGGGTTTGAGAACTTCTCTGGATCCAGTTGGTGTCCAGGGAGCAATCTGTCATCCCATGACACTTCTGCAGAGCAGCGATAAGTTAATAATGTTGAGATGCCGCACGTTTGCTTTTCGGACTTGGGCCTGGCAGTAACTGCTAAATTTGTTTGCAAAATGGTCAAAATAGCTACATGGGAAAGGTATCACTGCTACGCGTTGACACTTTTATCTTCATTAGCTTCTTGGCACTTTATTGACTGCTGTACACAACGTGCTTGTAACCTCCTGGGTATAAGGAAATGTGGAGTCCTTGGTCCTTTTCCAAGCACGAAGAGTTGAATGCAGGGATTTTGAAGAGGAAGGCTGTGGCTGTTTGAAGAATGAGCCTTAAAAATGCTTGGTGAGGTTCAGCTGGTCTGAGCCAGTGCATTAGCAGTAAAATGTTTGTATGGTTCATAAGTGCAAAATGCAGCCAAATGAATTCAGCTCGGGTGGGCAAGAAGCTGAACAGTAGCCCTCTACAAGTGTTCCTCCTCTGTCGAATGTTCTTCTTTGTACACAGCGTTTTCTTCTTTCTTTGGGAAGGCAGTACCACCTTTTTTTTCTTGCATTTAAAAATAATAGCTTTTCTGAATGTTGCAAGGAGAAAGGGCAGATGCTGTGGCCTGCTGAGTTTCAGGTGAAGACAGGCAGCCCTAGATCATCTTCTGGATAACAGGGATGCTTGTTGATGCCAAGTAGTGCACAGAAAATGGACAACATCTCATTGCTCCAGGTGGAGAAGAATCTACCTGTCACTGGCTTATTGAGATTGGCAATAGCGTGCAAACATGAGATAGTTCCCAGGTCCCTTGATCCTGTTGACCTAATCCCCTGACATGTAATTTGTCACCAAAGTCCATCTGTGTGAAGCTCTCTTGGCTGCTCTGGCACCATCACAGTTCCAGCTCTCCCACCACTGTGGTGCTTCTTGTTGGCCTGCAGCTCCAGCTGCAGGGCCTGGGGAACAGGGGATAGCTGGAAGGGTGAATGGATGAAGGTACAGCAAAGAGAGGTCTTTAATTTGTTCTTCAACTTGTTTTCAAATGGTTCGGTTTTGGACATTGCATTCTTTCTCTTTTAAGCTGCTAAATGTTAACAGAATATTGACTTAAAGCTAGGAACAGGGAAGAGATACCACCTGAAAGTGTTTGTGTTTCTGTCTGTTTTCCTTCGCCTGGGAAGGCACGCCGGCGTAGCCAGTGAAAGGGTGTTTCCAACCTGAAATCCAGACATGCTTCTCAAAATGTTAAAAGTAATTTCAGGTTTATATTTCAGATAGGTTTATACTTACTGTGGAGCTGTCCTGTCAATTAGTGTGGCTTTGCACGAGCAGGCAGAAACGGTCTGGCTTGGTTAGGTAGGGAGGAAAATGACTGGGCAAAAAGTGCTCCAAGTAAGTATATTTCAGTGCTAGCTGTTACAGAGCAATTGTAGATGAGAGAAAATTTTCAAAGTAATGTGGGATGATTAAGTTTAAGGGAATGACCAAAATTAATTCTTAGTACAATAAAATATAAAATGGTAGAAAAATGTAGTGATTTGGTTTGCATCTTGAATATAGAACCTTGTAGTGGAAAATAAGCCCTGTAGAAATGTCATTGTCTAGGACCATCAGAGTTCATCCTTGTTCAGTGCAGCAGACTCATCTGTACACTGAAAGCCTGATTTTCCCCTTGCTCTCACAGAAATTGGGAGCAATTCCATCACTGTATCGTAAAGAGGGAAAAGAGTCAAGCCCAGAGGATCAGAATTGCTATTCTGAGTAGACAGTAAGTTAAAAAGTAACATGTCTTCTCATTCTGGAGTAATTCTAAATCCATAAATACCTTTAATGAAGTGATAAAGTAAACCAAATCGCATCTCAAATCCTTCTGTAAGAACCCTTTTATAACAAGGGTCTGACAGTGATACTCAAATATTTAAGGCTTTACAAGAAAGCAATAGTTATTTTTCCCCCTTAAGGTTTAACATTTGTTCTTACGCACTTGGTGCTATATGTTAGAAATCTGAAATAAATTTAGTTCCATAAATAACCTTGCTAAAATATGAAAGGTGCCTAAATAATTTAGTTTTCTGAATCTTGCTTTCAGAAGTGACTTAGGTGCTTCTGTCCAAATACCATTGAATGTCCAAATACCATTGAAGATCTCTGGGAGACTTCAAATCAGCCCCAAGACTGCACATGCAATAAGTTCACTGTTCTCTCTGCAGCTTCTGGCCAGCTGGAAATGTTTTAGCTTTTAATTTTCATGGGTTTATTATAAGAAAGTTGCTTGAAGAGGAAGTTTTTATGTTTGTCTGTGAAGTAGCTGCAATCCACAGCCATGCTGATCTCTCCTAGAAGCCAGATCGACACTCATGGCTGCCCGCCAAGGAAAATCTGTCTCTGGCACTCGAAGAATTTCACTTCGGGCTCTAGAAAGGGAACGTCCTCGATGGATTAGAGCTCCTTACTCTCAGCCTCTCCATCTGTCCAGCGAATTGTAAATCCTGTGTGTTGAATTTCCTCTGCAAGTGCAAACTTCAGCATCGAGGGAGATTTAGAGAAAGGAAGGCAGGAGCCTGTCTTTTTGGAGGCATGTATACATGCAAGGGAGGTTCCATTCTTCTGCTCCATCATTTTTCTGTTATACTTAATGGTTGTAACTTGACAGTGGTTATGAATTTGAGTATCAGCCCTTCAAACTCCAACAGTGAGGTTAAGACAGGCAAGCGCTATTGTTGGGCGTGAAACAGCTCTTCTGCTTCTCACTTGTCCAATAGCAAACTTTTTATGCGTCTTTTTACTGTGTTTGAAAGCCAGTTGTAGTCATTGTGGGTTCGTATTGGATGCTGGGCAGCTGAGTAATGAGCAGCCTCCCTCTGATGGTATTAATATTAACTCTGATAGAGATGCTTAATAAAACAGTGTTCCCCTCAGGAACACAATTCTCTTCCGTCCCTGCTCTGTGCCCTGTTCTTCCCTTCATAAACGTTTCCTATCTCTTCTGCAATGTTTGCATAGTTACTGAAGGTGGGTTTTTTCATTTAGACCACGAAATACAAAGTTAGAAGCTTTTGGCCATATTAAATGTGCAGTTGTTTAAACTTTGTGTCCATCTTAATTTCCCCCAATGACTTCTGAACCTTCTGGCCTGTTTTGGCCGTATTTAGTTGGTGGGCTTTAAAGGTATAACAGCCCTACACATTTTTCTGAAAATAATGAGCCAAGAAAGAGGTGGAAAGCTGCGGTGTGAACTCATCCCTTAGACTCAACCTTGAGAGGGACCCATTGGGAAACTTGGATGTCTTGGTTCTGTGCTTGGTTTAAGGAACCACCTGCTCCATTGTAGGGAACAGCAAACTGAGGTTATGTTGAGAGATACAGTAACGCTGGCATCTGTGGATGTCCAGCTTAGCTGCTTATCCAAACATCAGATGATAAATAAGGTTTTTAAAACTCCATCTGACTTGGTTGTTGGCTGCTTTAAAGGCACTTGAGGCTTGGACTTGTGCAAGGTGAGTGTGTATGAAGTGAGATGTAGCCCTGTCTCCTACTGCTACCATGTGGTCTAGGGCTTCCATACCCCGCCCTGGGCATGGTGGCTGAGGCGAAGTCTGTGCAAATTTGGCCTGAAGAGCCAAGACCCCATGGGTCTGTGCCTTGACATGACACTGCAAGGCTCTGGCCATCTCTCTATTCTGTTACCTGAGTAGGAACATGGAGACAGTCTTTCCAAAAGCTCTGAGGCAGCGCCCAGGACAGCATGCAAGCTCATTCCCACCAGGCAGGAAGCCCTGGGTGGGTTTTTTTTTATTTGTTTTTATATTTTGCAGTTAAATGTGGTTTCCCTGCCCTGCAAAGTCTAATGAGATATCTGAGGAGCAGTGTGAAAACAAGGTGTTGGGTGAGCCTTGGAGCTGGTCCT